GCCGTCTCCGTCGCGGGGAAACTGGAGATGTTGTCGCAGCTTATTCAGCTGAGCGTTTTTGTAGCGCACGGGATGTTGTTATTTGCGAAAGACCCCCCCCCCCCCGTAGCTCGTGGTAAGATGTATGGAAAACGTTTTTGAGCCTCCTTTGGGGAAGTAGGAAGGAACGATTGGCCGTGGGTGATCGGTCCTGTGAGGGAAAAGGTTCATCCTTTTGGGGAGGACGAAGTGATAAGTGGTTTTACCGTTAAGGCATGGGAAACATGAGAGTACGCCCCCCCCCCCCTCTTGCACGTGCCGTCGACGCCGCTCGTGCATTTGGTTGTCCTACATGCATTTGTTGTGTTGTATTGTATTCAGGTACATCGACACGGAGGCGGAGGTGGACGAAGACGTCTCGGACGACGACGAGGCCGAGCTGGAGAACGACTACGACAGGTAGGTTGCTGCTGTTCCTTGCGTACAGAACACCGTGCGGACGCGCTTGGTTCTGGAATGGACCCCTCGCACGCCAGCGAAACTGATGCGCTAGGAATCGCGGAAATAAGCTCGCAAACGTTGTGGGTGATCCTGGTGTCTTCGGAAAGGCGAGGATCCACCTCTTCAACCAAGACGCTTGCTCAATGATGTTAGACTGACTACGGGGGTGCGGGTGAGGACGGCATGAGTAGATTGGCGCCCTCTCCTCCCCCCTTGCCTTGTCTCGCTGCACATTCACATAGCTTGCACCCGAAAAAGCGCACGTGCGTACGGATGGGGATACGAGAACTATCCCTCCCATGGGGATTTGGTTGGTATCTTCTTCCTTTTGATGCATACACTGTTGCGTCGGTGGGGCATTACCCATGTTCGCGTTTCCTCTTTTTCTTGGACGCGATGACGTTGAGTTCCACCCCTCCCCCCTCTCTCTCGTGATGCTTTTCGGCGTCATGTGTGCCGTTTCCTGCTCTCGAACGCCGGCAGCGAGGATAGCTTCGTCAACGACGGGCCGCTATCGTACGTGACGGACTCTTCTCAGGAGGAGGAGGCGGACGAGGAGGAAGAGGAAGACACGCGAGGCAGTGGTCGTGACGGCGGCGGTGAAAGACGCGGAAAGAAGAAAAAGAGAGGCCGCAAGGGTCCGAAGTTCGACAACAACGAGGATGAAACGGTAAAGGCAGGGAGGGGTGTCGCGATGTACTGCTGCTATCGCCGCGGCGGCGGTGTGGAACGTGAATCGTAGATCCAGCATTTTGATGTCTTGGCGTATGGTGTAGAAACGGTACGATGGGAGCATGTGCAGTATACGGGCGCACCAGCTCCAAGACCCCACTGCTGAGCTTTAGTCCCGCGCCCGCTTCTTTTTTTCCCGCAGGGCATGTACCGCCAGCTCTTGCAGCAGTCTCAGCCGCCACCGCCGTCGCCGTCTCACCGTGGAGCCGCCGCTGACGGGTGGGGGCAGCGACAGCAGCAGCGGCGGCGAACAGAGAGGAGCGGCTGGCATGTGACCGGCGGTGAGGACGAAGGCGGCGGCGGCGGCGGCGGCGGCGGCGGTAGCAGCCGGGCATCATCCCGCTTCGCCTTCGTGAACGCCGTCATGGCCCACGCGAGGGAAGGCGGAGACCCGCTGGACATCGAGGAAGCCTGCGGCTCGGACGCCGCCGGCGGTTTCACGCAGGAAGGGTACGCGGGGACCCCGGAGTCGACGGCGACGACGATGACGCCGGGGTCGAGGAGAGGAGGGGGGGGGGGGTGTCCGGACTGGTCGCCGCGCGACGGGATGTCGTCCGGGGGCTCGACATCCGACGGGTAAGAGTGGTGACACGCCAGTGTTGTGAAATGCAGTGCGGTGAAGGGCTTTACAGATGAAGCGCAAGTGTTGGGAAATGGAGTGGCTTTACAGATGAAACCTTTTTGTTCCAGTGGAAATTTGAGTTTCTGACGCATGGTGAAGACGAGGGGTTTTGCGGTGGAGAGGTCCTTCATCCGGCGGAGTTGTACAGGAAGAAGAGGAATCGCCGTGCTCTGGTCCTTTGACAATGTTTGTGTTGGTTGGTGAGGGAGGTTCCGATGACAAGAAATGCCTGTTTTCCGGTCCTTGGCGCTCGTTTGATGTCTCGAGTCGCCCATTGGACGTGTGGCGATGTGGTTGTTGTCTCTCGTGCGCTCGCCGTGTGGCTGGCTGACTCCTACCCCCCCCCCCCCCTCAATGCTCTTCCTCTCGAGGACGCATGGTCAACAGTCTAACCGCTGAGGCATGCAAAACATGTGTACCCCCCCCCCCCCCCCCCTTTTTTTGGAAAACCGAAAAGAACGGTTTTGTGGGCAAAAGACTGCCGGGGGGGAACATCTCCCTGGCGGGATAAATCCGTTTCCCTTAATTTCTGGGCCTTGATTTATGGGGGGGAATTACCCGGGTCAAAGGGGGGGCCGAAGCCATGTACTCCCCGGGGGTGGTGGAAGGGCAACCCGGGTTTTCGGGGTTGCCACGAGGGGGGGGGGAGGGGAACGGGGGTTGGGGGGGAAACCCCCCCGTCCAAAAAAAGGGAAAAGAAAAAGTTGCCCCTTTTGGGAACGCCCCTTGTGCGGGGAAAGCGCCCCCCAATGGGGGGAACCCCCTGAAGGTCCCTGAGAGAAAACCCCCCAAAGGTAAGGACAAACACCATCTTATCGGCGTCGGAAGGA